GTGTGTGCATGCTTGTTTCTGTTACACCCACCTTCACTGGGCAAATGGCTGGGGAGGGAGAGAGGTGACCCCCTGAGGTCAGGGATTCCCACCTGTTCCGTCCACTGCTGGACTCCCAGAGCCTAGAGCAGCGCCGGCCAGGGCACAGGCTCGGTAAGTGTACGTGGAATGAATGAGTATATGTTTAAGTGAAGGCAAACCTACCTGTCAGAATGGATGACTGTGCCTGATTTGGGGTCGATGACATGGACAATGACTCCACGGTGACCCCAGCTCCTTTCAAAAAAATAACCTCCCTCCTGCATGCCACCTGGGTGAAGGGTTTTGTTCAGAAATGTCCAGGAGAGCTTTTTCTGTCCATGCAACTCCAGGGTGCCCCCTCTGCCAACTCCAATGTACTTCAGGCCGTAGTAAGGGTCTGGCTGAACACCTTCATCAGCCCTGCAAGNACTCCAATGTACTTCAGGCCGTAGTAAGGGTCTGGCTGAACACCTTCATCAGCCCTGCAAGAAAAAAGGGCTCCTCAAAGTTGGCCAACACATCCCCCACTAGATGCTGAACCCACAGGGGACCCAGGAGTCACTGCTCCCTGATTCCCACTGTGGCTACCCTAGAGCCAGTCACACTTTTGGTGATTGCATAAGGTCAGTCAAAATAGCCTTAGCAACCCAATCTTTCCAAACCAGACCAAAATGAGGCCCCAAAGGCCAAGCAGAAGTCCTTGTCATCAGTTTACATGTTGGCACTTGTTTTCAGTTCTAAGTATTTTACATTTTTACCCATATCAGATGAGGAACCACCTGAATGTGCACTGCACACCCTTGAGTATTCCTGGCTATCACTCTTAGAACTCTCAATTGCTAAAGAGGGAACATGGCCAGAAGCAAATACCACATGGTATTTTCCTGAATCTAGTCCATCGTAACCCGTTAAGTAAACACTCGCAGAGCCTCCCTGAACCATGATGTGATTGGAAAGTGGCTGCAGGGCGGGTAGACACTTCTGTAACACAAGTGTGCCTCCCAGACCATGATAAATAAAACGCCTTGTGTACTTCTCCAGCTCCCCCAATCAACATGTCTGTCTTATTCATGATCACGATCCGGCAACACAGAATGACTAAAGTCTTGTTGTCTTGCCTCTCTCTTTCCTTTGGAAAGCCTCCCGCCCATCATATCCAAGAGTAGCATTGACCCAGGGGAGTGCTCAACCCACCTTCCATACAAGATGATGCTAAAATTGCCCTGGAAAGGGCAGAGGGCACTCCCAGCATGCATCTCTCCTCCGTTGTCAATCAGGATGTGCCGGGTTCGCAAAACAATTGGCTCATTGTGGTCTTTAATGACTAGTTTGCCTGAAGA